CACCACGAATTGAATGAATGAACATCGGACACCATTATACCAGCCAGGTGGTCTTAACTTGGCTTCATACATTAAATATAATTGATGAATGAAGCTATATAATGCCAAAAATACTGCCTTGTTATGGAGAGTACACCAGGCAGGCACAGCGGTACACATGAAGTTTGGGAACGGATCTGCCAAACCAAATAATTCCGGGCACCAGCTTCAATCAATGGATACAAGAATGATTAGTAGGCAGATTAACACATGAACTACGAGATAGGACATAGCACTACATCCATCCACCAGGTATGTTGGTGAACAGATGAACACATGACATGTTGATGTTGTAGGTTTCAGCCATCCATCTCCAAGAAACCCGAGCTTGATTTCAAGCGCTACTTCAATGTACATCGTTTCATCAGGCTCCATAGCACGCACAGGCACAGATAACCAGTTAACCATGCATGCACAACAATTCTTGCCATAACTTTCACAACCATTTTTGTTGAAGCTATCATAGATACACAGACACTCATATTATAACCACCAAGCATGAATCATTTCAGACTTCTCTTCTCTCACTCGCTACTCTATTACTGCCAGGTAAAAAGCATGGTTACCCAGCTGGAATATTGCTCATCAGATCAGTGCCGACAAATGCCCCCGCTGCGCCAGTTAGCTTCTTGTACCTATGGAATATAAGTCTCCCCTGATCAGCATCCAGAGTGGTCAGCAAACCCGGTATGATGGTCCTCAACTCCTGATACAAGCAAACGATTAGCTAGGCCCAGGTATCATCAGAAAACAAGGTGTAAAGCATGCGTATAAACACTACTGTTGCGTTACAACGAAGAATCCTTTTTTTTTTTTGTAACTTAGGGTATCCTCAAAAGAAAAGGCCAAATAAAGTTTGGGCCTGTGATGCCAGCATAGACTATAGTGTAGACACTAATGTGCTGTTCGGTTAAGCGACAGTAAACGCAACTGCAAAGGGAAATGAAAAGCAGCGCTAATGGTAACAGATTACAGCCGAGGAGCACCCGTACCAGCTTTCAATGGACTGGTATCTGATTACAGGGTAATGGATTACGGACCAACCTGAACCAATCGTATGTAACGCAATCACTTTCCGTCATGTAATCCATTTGTGTTACAAAACCACAAACCAAACACTGTCTAAGCTACAACAGCAACACAGTTGACTAGAAACTACCAGCACATGCAACATAATGTGGTGAAGGGTGAATTAGTAAGTAGCCTATGCACAACAAAGAAGCAGCTCTACAGGCACCAAGAGTACCATATCCACTAGAAGAAAAAACAGAGTAGCAAGATAAAACAGAAAAGGCAAGAAAATAAGAAAATAAAAACAAAAGAAAGGTCTATAGGGTTCCTATATAGACCTAAGCAACGATTCAAGGCGGTAAACACATGTAACAAAGAAAGTAGTTCGGCCATGGAATCAAGTGCTTCGTCTGTTTAATATGAGATGCATAAATATAAACATGTGCACTGATTATGCAGATATGCAAAGAGAACAAAAATAGCGGCTAAAACTCTAAAACGATGAAATATCGTCCAACAACCCAACATGGCATCCAATCCATTCATGGGATCCCTAAGGAGGTAAACACATGTAACAAAGGAAGTAGTTCGGCCATAGAATCAAGTGCTTCGTCTGTTTCCTATGATATGCATAAATACAAACATGTGCATTGATTATGCAGATATGCAAAGAGACAACAAAAATAGTGGCTAAAACTCTAAAACGATGAAATGTCATCCAACAACCCAACATGGCATCCAATCCATCATTGTGTGCATGAAAATGCTTTGTCAAGAACATTTACATGTGAGCTTCAGAATTATTGAATTGAATATTGAATATTTAGCAAGCAGAAATAACAATATGACCACATTATTTGTGAAGAATGAAGAAATGGACTATCAAAGTTCCAAGTTCCAATTCATGCTCAACTGTTCATTGCTCTTACTATGTCAGATGTACAGGTTCAGACAACTATGATGTCTTTCTTCCCAAATTCTAGCATCAACATAAACGGTTGCATTTCAGAATTCAAACAAGCACTTAATGCATTCATCTGTAAGCAGTAGAATGCAACCGATTCATAGAACTGGTTCCTTTTTGTCTTCTGGCCGGTGATCAAGGAGGTGTCTCTAACTAGTGCTTGAACTGAGGCCACATCCCTCAAGACTCATTTGATGCATATAAAAACAGTTTGTAGCTAATGAGGCATTGTAAATATAACACTAAAGTGACAGGTTTTCAACATGAAATTGAAAAAAAAAAATCACCTACAAAACATAAACTGTCAACAAATCACACTTCCCATCAAGGTTTACAGCTACAATCAATTCTAAATGGGAAACATCAAATGAAAGTACACTTGTAATTTTGATTGTTGACGAAATTTAGCAATACATTGCTAAGAATTCATGAAATAAAACAAGAAAAAATGTATCTATTGCAATGGAGCAAGGATCTGAAACCCAAACTATAGACACAGACAATAACTAAAGTCTCGCCTTACCAAGTATACCTTATATTCATCTTGCCTAAATTTCTCACTAGGGATTTTATAATACGAAGAAGTGGGATCTAATAATGTATAGATAAACAAAGCTGGTGGCTAAGTGATTCAGCCAGCATATTACCATTTCACATGAATTGCTACAAAAATTGCCTGTGTTGGCAATTGGAGCCATCATCCCACCTAAGCAACTATCACCAAAGTAGCATTTGATGCTTTTTAAATCATTGCATATCATATACACAAATCTGATAGGGCCAACCACACCATGCAAGAATACAGAACCATAAGCCAATCCCAACCTTGGTGCTGCTTGTGCTCAGTTCACCATGCATGGGTAACACAACATATTCCATTAAAGTGAAAAATAATCAATACAACTATAAACACTTTCCAATTCAAAGGTTTGCCAGGTAATAATAGGTTGGAAGTTGTGAGGTTCTCTGTTGCCTAACATAAGGGGATAGTGAAGCCAGGTCAAGCATCTGTTGGGTTCTTTAATATATTTCTCTATATTCACAGTACTCAAAGACACTTGACACCAACAGTCCAACACGTTACCAACATTTATTCATTTCCTCTTTGCTCATATCCAATTGTACAAACAAGGATATGAATGGAAGACAAATGCTAGCCCCTTGAAACCCGAACTGAGGCGACAGGCTTTGTGTAATCAAAACCTCCATTAGCCAATATCCAACACAATTTTGATGGGTTCATTGCACACTTTATAAATAAGATATAAGGGAGATACTAATGGGTTCGCAAACAAAGTTGTTACATAAGTGAATCAATCACCACCTTTATCATTTCAAATTAACTGTTTCAAAACTAGCCTGCCTAGGCGCTAAGAGCCAAGCTGCCAAATGCCTAATCACAACTAGGCACCTGGCATCAACGTGTGTTAACATGGTATTGTGCGGCCTTTTGCTTTAATTCGATTCTGGATGCCATGGGAAAAGGAATTTACAAAATCAAAACTCCAAAAGAACTGTTTAATACAACTACTTATAAGTTTGACATGTTTTCTATTGCTTAACATAGGAAACTAGTGAACCCAGGGTTAGTCAAACATATGTTGGGCCTTTTAATACATTTTCTCTGTTTATAGCACCATAATGACACTGCCGTTGACATTTGACTGCAACATGCCACCACCCCCTCTTTGTAATGGGTTCCTCCTCTTTGTTTTTTGTCTCCTTTGGGGCCCCTTTTACCCATGTAATTATGTAGCTTTCTCGGTTAGCTCTCCACTAACCACCCCCTGTACAGTGTTCCTTTTAATATATTTTGCCTGGGGAGCTTTGCTACACAGTTGGGTCAAAAAAAAACATGCCACCACCATTAACAATCTCACGTTAACATTTTCCATCTGCTTTCATGCAAATGAAGTGGTGCACACGAACAAAGAAATAAATATAAAACAATCAAAGGCTTTGTATTTCGCACGCCACATTAGAATCACACTTAGTATCACAACATAATGCTAGTCCTACGATCCACACACACACGCATGCACGCACAAAAAAAAAACAAAAAAAAAACAAAACCCTACACTGCCTGGAATCTGCAAGTAAGTCGAACTATAATTTGGAACCGAGGGAGTATACCTTATATTTATCTGGCTGAAATTTCTCACTAAGCATTTCCTAAAGATACGAAGAAGGGGATTTAATAATGCCTTGGCAAACACAACTGATGTCTAAGTGATTCAGCCAGAACTATTACTAGTTTCTATGAATTGCTACAAAAAATTGCTCGTGTTGGCAATAGGCATCATCATCCTGCCTGACCAACTGTCACCAACGTAGTGCTTGATGCTTTTTTAACCATTGCATGCACATACACAAAATCTGGTAGGGCCAACCATACCATGGAAGAAAACAGAACAATAAGCCAATCCTAGCCTCTGGCACTGCAATGACCTTTTGTGCTCAGTTCACCAAGAATCTTTTGCTTTAATTTGACTGCATGGCATGAACAGATTACACGAAATAAAAAAAAAAAACATTTACATTTAATAAAACTCTTAAGTTTGCCATGCTTTCTGTTGCTTAGCATAGGAAATTAGTGAACCCAGGGTTAGTCAAACATCCGTTTGGCTTTTTAATACTGTTCTCTGTTTATAGCACAATAATGACACTGCTGTGACATTTGACTGCAACATGCCACCGCCATTGACAATCCCACAATTATCATTTCCTATTGGCTTTCAGGAAAATGACGAAGTTGTGCACACGAACAAGGACATAAGTATATAATACAATCGAAGGCTTTGTATTTTGCACACAGCCACATTAGAATCACAGTTACTATCACAACAAAATGCTAGCCCTACCTACTAAGATCCACACAAAAAATTACACTGCCTGGAATGCGCAAGCAAGATTAAGGCATAGATTGACAGAAAAAATAGAAATACATGATATAGGAGAGTAAAATCACCAGGACTACTACTAACCTTCACAACACGACATCACACCTTCTCGGCGGCCCATTGAAGGCAGCCTCAGTGGAATTCTTCCCGCGGAAAACCACCTTGACGCCATCGCACATGACCCTAATGACCCTCCGTCGCGTGCGCCAGCCCCCTCTGTCGAAGACAGCCACGGCCATGAGCCTGACCTGGACGTCGACGGCGCCGCCGTCGCCGGTCTTGAGCGCGGCGGCGTCGTCGGGCCCGACGTAGGCCTCCTCGACGACGAGGCGGAAGGCGAGTGTGGTGGTGTTGCCGGGCGCCTGGCCGAAGGGGGCCAGCGAGGCGACGGCGAGCGGGGAGGAGGGCGCGAAGGAGACGGACGCGAGCGGCGAGAAGTAGGCGACGGAGAGCTTGGAGTTCGGGTTGGCGGCGAGGAGGGCCGCGTCGAAGGAGGCCGAGAGGGAGGCGTTGGCGCGGGAGTAGGCGACGCGGGAGAGCGCGAGGGAGGTGAGCGAGAAGGCCGGCGCGCGCGGGCGGAGGAGGAGCCACACGATGAAGGTGGCTACGCCCAGGAGGAGGAACGCGCCCACGACGGCGGCAAGCAGGCGGCGCAGGCAGGTGGGAGGCGGCGGCGGGTAAGCGTAGTGGTGGTGGTGGTGCGGCGGAGGAGGAGGGGGCTGGGGGTACGGGTAGTGGTGGTGGTGCGTCGGCGGCGGCGGGTGGTGGTGAGGCGGGGCGGGGTAGGGGTACGCGACGCCGAAGGCCGCCGGAGCGGAGCCGTTTGCGGCGGCGGGGGGTGGAGCGGCGGCGTAGTAGGCGGCGGCGGCGGCGGGGCTGGGGTTCCCGTTGGGGGCGGGGTACCCCATGGCGGGCGCCGGCGGGGCGCCGCCCGGAGGCTTGGAGTTGGGGTGGTCGGGCAGGTGCGCGGAGGAGGAGGACGAGGAGGAGGGCTGCTGCATGCTGGAGATCCGGCGGCGGAGGAGGAGGAGGACGGGAGGAGTGGCGCGGGCGCGGCGCTGGTCGTGGTCGGTGAGAGCAGGCGAGCGGTGCGGTGGTGGTGGCGTTGTGGGGTTTGCTTTCGGTTCGGCGATGGATGGTGATTTGGGATCTCACTACTCACTACTGTGGAGTCCGTGAGACGGCGGCAGCAGCGCGGGAGGGGCGTCTCTGCGTGCCTCCTTTTCCTGTTGCTGTGCCTGCGGGTCGCGCGTCGGTTCCTTCCGTCCGACTGACAGGTGGCCTGCCGGAGATTGGGACGTCGGCGAATAAATCCCGTTCCGTTTTTTCTCGAACGAATTTGTACTCCCACTCGTTCAATTGGACTCTGGCGCGAGACATAGGTTTTATTTTATATATATTTATTTACCAACCCTGTCCTCAAATCCAAGGAATTCAAGTGATTTTTAGGCAAAAACATCATTTTATTCCACGCTAATTAGGATGGGAGAGCGAGGGTGATTCCATTCTTATTTTCCTTGGTTGTTGACCGGTTGTTTTGGGTGAACTTAGAAAGACACCCGAGTTAAAATAGAAAGTCAAAGAAAAATGATGTAGCAACAGTGTAACACTTAGCGAAGGATGGCGTGCACAACGTACATGTTAATTGGAAGGAAGGATTACTTGACATGACATTTAGTACAAAATACCATGGACAGCTTGCATATTGAGATTGAAATGTAGGATTGCTTAACATTTAGTGAAGAATGATGTAGATAACTTGTACATTAAGATTAAAATGAGTTTGCTTTTATAATATATAAGATATGTAGATATAGATTATTTTTGTCAAGTTCAAATGAGTACGGGGGAGCAAAAAATCTTCGTACTTTGCCAATAAATTATGAGTAAAACATATCCTGGTTCTCTAAACTTTCTTATATTTTTATCTAAGTCATGAAGTTTTAAAGTGATTGTCTGGATTCTTTAGCTTTTCAAGTGGTTTCTTCTAAATTCACTCTAGATTCAATCATGAACCTGAATTCGCACTTAGATAAACCATGAATAAACACTTTAAAAATTCATAGACTCAGTTGAAAATGCTGGAAAAGTTGAAAACATGTGGTGGACAAAATACTATACAGTATTGGAGGGAGTACGTGTCAGACGGCAACCACAAAAAAAAACTAGTTTTTCCTTATTGTTTTCATTATATTGGCCATTTCCCTATTTGCTGTACGGTGACGATTGTGAGCACAAGGCACAAGCCAAGATATGGGCAATTTTTATTTTTTAGGGATAATAACTGAATCATTGTCCGTTGACGTATACTCCGTACATTTGAGCGAGACAATCCTGCAGCCTTGGAGAATGTGTCATGCACACCCCCACTCAACTTAACCCGGCTGCTATGCAAAGGATAGTCACAACCATGTTGCACGCCATAGACAATTACAACACAGTGCATAAAAGTTTTAGAAGAATGTTTAAGGCCAGTCACAAAGATTGCCATATCATCATATAAAACCAAATGTAATATAGATAAAACACTCACTCTTAATGAAAAGTTTCATTATATAGTTTAAAAGACATTTAATTTCATGACTTATAAAGAGTTGGTAATCGTGGCAACAAGAGAGTTTCATCCCCCATAAAACTCACTTCTTCTCGCTCTTCTTAAAAACGTTGTCAAATTATCAAAAACACATGTGTGACAGTCTATTAAATGCAAACGAAACTTTGATAAAACTCCTATTAAGACTGGCCAAGTTTTGTGTTAAGTTCACGAGGTTTGGCAGCGGATTGGAAGGTCAATCATCGCTCGCGCATAGTGTTATCATACTAGTACTACAATAATACGTAATAACAAAAAAAACATATTAGGAAGCGATGCGGTGCTCATGAAGGAACTTCGCTGCGAGTTGCCGGACTGATTTCGAATTTTTAAATTTAAGAAGGGGCGGAAATGGTCATTCGGTAGTTTTTCTCGACCTGACTTGCAGTTCGAGGGAGTTCCATCGATAAGCAGCTGAAATGGAGGCCAAAAGCGAGACGGCCAGATCGAGCTCTCTGCAGGCGTGGCGGTGAATGAAAAGAGTCACGAATCACAAGAGGAATTTTTGGGTTTGCTTTTTAATTATTGGCACAAGAAAGACGGATTCGTGAGATTTATATATATCATCAAAAAGGTAAAATGGGAATGAGATTTCCCCTTTGTATAAATAAATAAATCGACACCGAAAGATACAGACCAGCAAGTTCCCGGACCATCTTTACGTTATTCCAGTGAAACCATGGCGTCGTAGTGGCGCTAACAGCAAATCGTGTTAAGCTTAGCAACGTCCTTTGCCCGATCCGTCACTTGCTATCTACTCGTACATAGAAAGTATATATACCAAACAACAAAGACGTTTGCTTCCTTCTTTATTCTCCTTCGAGTAGGATCGCAATTCGCAAGAAAAGAAGAGGAAAACGCTACCACCTCTTTTTCCCTCGTCATAACTGCCGCTGAAAATTTAGGTTCATGGCATCGCTTCAATTGCCACTATCATCATCATCTGTCTTTCTTAGGGAACAGTTTCATTGCAACACAGGGTTCTATACTCATGAAAACATACTCTACAGCACCAACAAAAAAAGGTTAGTTTTGGAACTGCTGATTGTGAACCCACAAGGCCACAACGTAGGTTTCATTTCTTTTCCTAAAAAAAAGGTTTCATTTCTTTTGACTTTTTAGGTCAACAACACGGTATAGTTAACTTGAGGAACCTCCATCAAGAAAATGGCACCAACACTTTTTCGCCGTTAGCTTTCCGTGTCAGCCACCCAAATGGAGAGAAAAGAAACTTTGGCGTGCTTTTTCTGAGAAAAGAAAATTTGGTAGTGCTCGGCATATATATATCTATATTATATATATGCAGTGAGAGAAAGACCGGTGGATGCTTCGAAAGAAATCTGTGCTGTTGAACTTACTGGCATCTGGCTGTACTCATGCCGTCTCTCTCACTCACTGTTGCTCAGCGCTTTTGCTCCGCCCATTGCTGCCCTTCGAAGAACTGACCGAGAAGTTGGTCCACCGCTTCCGGGCTGTACCGAACGTACTTCTGCGGGTTCTTGTTGTTCTCCACAAGATTGCTGCAAAGTCACAAGGATACTACAGTCACATCTTACTAGCACTGCTAGTTGCAGGATGTAGCAAATTACTGGCAATAGAAGGCATTCCATGTTCTAGTAAAAGAACAGGAAAACTACTGTCTTAGCAGCCGACTAATGAAATTGTTTGATGATGTACCCAAAGCGTTTGATAAAAGATCGATAGGCTGGCAACAGGACTTCGGCTACAGCAAGCCTCAAGGATTCTCGCAGCTCTTGATCAGGTACGATCCATTGTGATTGCTTCGCGTGGAGCTCTTCGAATTGCGTATTGAAAGACTTAAACCTGACAAGGCAAAAGACATTGGAGGGTTATTGATTTCTGTTGTTGCGTAAGACAGTTAAAAACGTTTTGCCTCCAAGCACTCACCGTTCTTTGATCGTGGCTCTTGAAACACCACTGCTGGTCAGGTCACCGCTGCTGCCCGCGCCTTGAACAGAAAGTGTCTGAAGAATCTAAAATAACAGAAGCAGAGCAGCCACAATCAAGTGCAATTCTATATGTAACTGTGTACGATAATGCAATAATACATTAATACATAACAAACATGCTAACTGATGTATCCAAAACTCCAATGGACATTAAAGAATGCCTTGCCAGGTAGAGGAAAACTATAAAAACGCCTACAAACATTAAGTCCACGCCAGCTCAGCATTTCCACACATTTTGCTTTACCAAATATAAAATGGCATGTGTGTGCATAAAGTTTCTTAATAGTGGATGTACAAGAGGGACTTTCGGACATTACAATTTCTGATGAATTGAAGGGTCAGACCATACTTAATAGAGATCTACTTTGTAAGCTCAGCCTAACTTCACAAAAAATTCTAACTGCAGCAAATGTATCATGTATAAGGAGCGATATTGTACCCTCGTTATGATTTATGATAGATTGAACAGGTATACATCCATGCTGTATTCACAGAGTGATAGCCACTAAAGAATATTGATTAAACAGCAGTCTGATCAAGACAAAAAAGATACATTCCCTAAAGAGGGCCGAAAGGGGATTGCACATCTAACATCATGCAGCCAAACAAAAAAGCAATATGTCATGCACGATCCTTGAAGATTTTGCCGATCCACTAACCTTTGCCCAAGCAACGCGTTTATACTGATTGGCATTTTGCTGCACAATCCTGCGATGTCTCTGAATCCAGTCATCACCAAGTATATCTTTTGCTTCTGATCTGAGGCAACAAAAGAGATCATTAAATGAACAGGCTATCATAACATAATACGAAACAGGTCTTGTAATAAACACAGACATACCTGCGAACAGATCTAACCATATAGTGGATATTGTTCATAAGAAATAAGTATGTCAATGCAGGATCCTTATACTGTTTAGATTTTCCATCTAGGTTATTCTGTAGGGCCTGCATTATCCTTGTGGTAACAACAGCAAGCTGAGATTCTGCCTCAGTGCCACTATCAAATTCCTGAAATAATAGCTTCAATGTTGACTGGTAACTGTTCAAATCAGAGTAACATTTGTTATGCATGAAATTTCAGAAACAACAACAGGAAAAGAATAAACAAATGCGACATTGCTTCATGAGTAAATGAAAAATACAACTAATTCATAACCAGATAAATTCTAGAATCTAGAAAGTGCCCAAGTTTGTTAAGAAAAGCAAGATCAAAAGATGTTATAAATAGCTTCGTATAGGTATTACAGCCTATAGGCTGAACTTCCCTGATTCAAATTTGTCCAAAATCTTATTCAGTATTGTGGTACAATTTTGTTTCCTAAATGAACCAGCCTGTTAATATTAGCACATGGAAATCCTTTCTACTTCATCAACAACTATGGTCTTGAGAAGATCAGAAGCATAAAGCCCCATAAGCCACAGTTAAAATAGTGTT